CATCCATATACCGGTTATAATCATGTCCAGGATCTATAAATAACCTCGTCAGGAAAGGCTACAACTGAAAACTGTGAAGTCTGTGCTACCCGCTAAATATTTGCCTAGTGAGAGTCATAAAAGTCCTTGGATCAACAAACGCAGACGGGCTAGATGGCAAACTGCACTTACTTGCACCCCTCGTGCAAAGATGACTGTGCCGTTATTGGTCAACACTAACGCTCGCTCACTATTCGCGAAGATCTCGGATCTCCATTCTGAACACGCATTAATTCCAACACGTGTTGTTTGTGTACAAGAAACCTGGCTGAATCAAAACATTGAGGACGTGCTCGTGCGAATAGAAGGGTTTGATTGCTACCGGTGGGTTGGACAGCGAATAAGGAGAAAAACCGAAGGCGGTGCAGCTGCTTACATTTAAGTTACATATTTCCGACACCTCCAGAAGTACACTTGATTTCCGTTTCACTTGTATGCTGGACTAGTTCATCGTTTTACCGGCAATCTGACGGAATCTTGTTTGTCCGTCGAGCTGTCAATAGAGATAGTCTGATCTTCCGCGCTGTCGGGTATGAGAATACGAATGGCTAGAGCCTCGGTGAATCTGAGTGTTTGTTGTTGTAGGTGACCTGGAATGCATGAGTTGAGGTGACAATGTTTTTGTTCCAATAAATGTGTTATCGAAAAGCTAAGTTCTGTTAATTCGGTCTCAAACTCGTCATCCATCGCTTTCTTACGCCACACCGGAATGTTTTCGGACATTCGGTGACTTGACTGCCTCCTGACATGCGTATGAGGATGGCCGAGCATCCATACCTGAATTGGAGAACGTATTTTGATTGCGCGCTTAACGACAGAGTTGACTAAATCATCCACATCATCGCCTCTGTATCATAACGTCGAAAAGGTTTTCATTGTCATCTCCGACAACAAAACGCTTATTCAAACAAAACCATTGTCATCCCAACCTATGCATTTTTGCTCATCTACAACAACAAACACAAAGTGACTCGAATTCGCCGAGGCTGTAGCCGTTCATTCTGTCAAACCTGATTTGTGAAACAACGTAAATAGTTAGTCGAATTAGCTTCGCCTGATAAATAATCGTTATTATCTCCCGTTCTGTGTTACTGGATCGTGTTGTCCGATATGATTAGCGATCTTGTCTTTATCTCACTGACTATTGAAATCACTTTGACCGCATCATGCACGTGTAAACATGTAGCGAAATGACAATGGATACATTATGCAAAAAAAACCATGTATTTCAAATCTCCGTAGAAATCTTTGACGGGAAAAGTAATTTCAGGCATAGAATTTTGTTTCAATAACGGAATCATCGTAGTTCCATCCTTACTTTCTCCTAGTTCGGGTGAATTGAATTTATTTCCGCCCATTTCCCTAGTGCTAATATGAGGTAAAGAGTTGCCAGTGAGGTAGGATAATTGATATATATATATATATATATCACACTTCTGACGCCAGACTGTGTGGATAATTGGATAAGGTAAGAGTTCGCGGCAAACTGGGAAGCAAAAACCTCAGCTTTCTTGTGTGGTTGACATACAAGATCATCAGGGGAATTACAGATAGGAGGGAGGTTGGAAAGCCAGAAATTAAAGAAAATCGTTTAGACAAGGGACCAAAATGTTCGGTTACCGGTGGCGAACGAGATCAAGTCCTCGGCTCAATAGCTAACGAAGCGTTCTTTGGGTGGTCGAAGCTTGCACGAAGCCAGGAGTGGGCGAGTGACGGAAGTCGAGCGCCTTGGGCATACAGCACAGCCACAAGCAAAGTTTCGATTCCCTGTAAAACGAATCCAAACATCTGCGAAAGCGCTTTTGAACTTTTACGTTTCGATTGTTTGGTTGAACTTAACCATTTACACGACCCATCTGTGTTCAATTTGCTTCTGTTCTGACTTTCTTGAGCCCTGGTGAACCAAGGAAGAACCATAATTACACTTCGATTGTTTTCGTTTGAACTTTCGATCAAGGCTGGTTGTCACTGTGTAAGTTTCAACCGAAACATAAGAGTATGTATTCATGGAATTAACCACCATGCAGCGCTGACAACCGTTTGCCGTAAAAGTTCAAGATTAACAGGTTCGAACCTCGCCACAGAGACCGAACATTGGTGGTAGGCCGCTCCACTGCCGCCCGGCACGACACCATGCCTATGCTAGTGAGGCCTTATGTGGTAAGCCTCTCCAAGTGACGGAGATGAGGTTGACGGTTCCCATGAGTGAACATGAGATCCTTATGACGAAGTCTTTCACCTATTCTGCTGTTCATCAGACAATAGTATCCAACAAAAAATCAAACTTATTAAAACAACGAGCACCCGATCTTTGAGATGTGCTCATAGGGATAAGGACAAGATGCACACGGAGAATGCAGCCTTGTGTGTAAATGATGCCAGATAAACAACCGAAAACTGATCGGATGTTGAAACTCAGAACTCAGACCGGTCGGGGTAAATTAGTTTATTCCTTAGTTCGAAGGAACGATGCATAATTCCGAACAAACACGGTAATGAAATTGCAAATAACCCTATTAGGGATGGACCAAGAGTACCTACACAAAGCAGGGTTGTTAAGTGAACAACAAAATGCACAACACTGAAGAAAGATGAGAATAAGATACGACGTACGTTAGCAACAAATGGTTGTAACAAACTGCAACGGAAGTGCGGATGATGAGAAAGAACATAAAAGAGACCGCCTGTCGAGGATGACAGTGTCTTAAGACTACTTTCATTTCGTGAACCAAAGGTTATATTTCACAACTGTGGCTGATTTTGACTACTGGCTGAAGGAGGTCGACTTGTACCGCCCAATGCATTTCCGCCAGTACTACCAATTGCCGAAGAATCCATTACTGATACGGGAGGTCCAGTGGAGTCGCCCTTAGATGGGACAGAACCACTGACACCACTTTGAGGAATTTGGGACATGGACTGCTGTTGTTGTTGTTGAGGATGTGGCGCGGGATATCCATGAGAATGCGGTGGGCCCATGTGGGGAGGATAACCGGGCCATGGACCCCCGGCAGAAGGAGCAGCATGTGGAGGGGGTGGATAAGGTCCACCTTGTTGTTGTGCCGAAACGTAGAAACCACCAGGAGAGCCGTAAGATCCTTGCATTGAAGGATGTGGGTAACCTGTAAAACAACAACAGTTGCTGTAATATTGGGTCATCCACCTCAATCACAAAAGCATGTTGACAAGCCAGCTGATTGGTGTGGTAAGTTTAGCCCAACATTAATTGAAGTTCATCGAGTGAACTCCTGGGCAGGACCGATCGTCTAAATTTCATGACTCGATGAAGTCTATAATACCACCATCACCACCTAACTTTGGTGGTGAGCAGTTTTGTTATCGTCCGGTTGAATACCACCCATAACCTAGTGGGGTTTTATGTGGTCCAAGTCCCAGAGCTTAGGTTGCCGGTTTCCATCACTGAGTGGTAGGTTCTCTGACTATGTTGTTTACCCCGTCTGCTGTTCATCACACTGAGGTATGATAAATATCACAAAAATACACAAACTATGTACACATTCTTATACAAAAGGTACTTTCGAATCTATCATTATCCGAATTATTCCTTTTTTCAGGCGAACTCTACGGATTGTTTGCCATCAACATTGGTTCTTAAAAAGTAGCGTTTGGTTGGTCACCACCGCATCCATTTCACTGGTTATTCGCTACTTGAGATAATAAGAATTCCCGAAACTGGAAATGTGAATACTCGGTTTATTGGTGTTCTTTATCCCTGGGGTTTTGTTCAGAATGAATAAGAAGCTACCTATTAATAAGATCAATATTTTGGAGAAGCACCAAAACTGAAAACCGCTCGGAGCTAAGTGACAAAATCGTTCGCGATTTTGAGGAAGACAGTGCTCAAACCTTCATGGAATAACGAACTACGAAGGGGGCACATACACAAACACCGCGTACATGGACCCATCAGGGGGAAATCTCATCTCGCAATCGGAGAAAAATTCTATGACGCTATTTGCCAATGTCATGTGGGATGAGCCTGGGGGAGTTTTCGTAGTTGACCACTTCGGACTAAAGAAGCCGATAAGAAGGAGCACGAAGATAATACGCTCTACTGATGAGCCTCAACAAGGACGGAACAGATATTCGGTGCAATTCGTTGGTCTTCATAAAACAGTCAATGTATCAGAAACGTGACTGATTCAAATTCTAAGAAACGAGACAAGAACAAAACAAAATGCCTTTTTTCATCTGATCTTCATTGAGTTAAATATATCTTCTCTCTGAATATGACCTGTTCATTCAACGGATCTTCTTCTTGTGGTTAGTTTTGAACCTGATCATTGAGTCGTTGGCAAATTCTCACAAATCAAACTCTGGATGGGTTTATTTAAAATACACTTTTGTTACAAACTACCATTCAATATACTATAAGCCCGGATTTAGTTATTGAGTGTATAACATATTCAGTAATAACTGAACCTCAGGGAAAAGTAATATAACAGACCCTGCTTTGCAACCGACGTACTCCGTTTACTGTGGACGCTTGGGGAAGAAAAATCGGCTTGGCTGATGAACACGAAATTTCGTGAGAGTTTGTCACTGAATAGAACGTGCCTCTAGCGTTGGCAAAGTTAAAGTGTGAAGCTCAACGGAAGTCTGTTTTTGCAAAAGGATCGGTGGCTTCCTTGACCTTCGACTGGTGTGAATTTAGCCCAAGGATCAGTGAGTGCATCACTTGGTAGATTACCTTTATGAACGTTGACTCAAGCAGATTCAGTAGACTTTGACCGCCATTCCGGGTTTAAGCCTGGATAACGCTTACCCCTAACCGTTTTAACCCGGCTGTCAAGAAACTAATCGCCACTTGGTCGATGCTGAATGCTTTAATTTTTGGAGCCACAATTGAGAATAAACTAGTTCATGGAGACCAAAGAGGTGGTGCATCAGGGAAACGGTATTTTTCAGGCTACTCTTCTCAAATACCGCTTACATCACATTGTGGCATTGGAATTTTGAATCGGTTCAAGAGCCCTTGAACAATGACTTCGACAAAGGGATAGAGGAAAATACGAATCTACACTAGAATACAACTTTGACCGACGAAAATACAGAATCTTTACTAATGATAAATTACAAACACTTATTAAGCATCATCTTCCTTCAAGATAGAGAAAATACCAATGAGCAGCGTAACGATTTGATCCAATAACTAAGTGAGACAAACAACGAATTATTTCAGGGATAGCGGGGATAACGCTGTTGCAACCAGTTATTGTAGTTTATCCAAATTAGCTCAAAGTAACGGTGACTTTAGAATTATAATAGATCATCTTTCTCACTGAACATCAGAAACAGGCAGTTTGCCAATCGCGTGAAGTCAGAAATTGTACAAAAAATAAGTACGAACATATAAATTCGATAAAGGAACATATTCAGGAGGACTTGACAAAACACTATAAAATTATGTAGAGTTCAACGTACAATGAAACAGTTTTGACTATTGTATTAGATGATAATCAATAACACAAGTACTGTTCGCATTTAGCCAACACTTGTGAGCAGTTGTGTGGGATAATTGCTACAATCTGGTGGGAGGCATTCAACTGGAGTTAACAGATAGCCAAATGTCCCCCTTCGTTGTTGTCGGGCTAACAATGAACCGATTAACTACCACTGAAGACAAAAACTGAACAAACATGTATTGGCAATTCCGTTCAGTCCTGGTATGAGCTCGTTGACACAGTGGTGACAAACACATCTTCCATGAGATATTTTCGGGGTTCGAAACCCGGACGGGACAGTGGATATGCACTACAGAAGGCCTCTAATATGAGTGAAACTCGAGCCTGGTGCTTCCGATTGTATGGTTGACTGGATGAATTGAAGGTGAAGGATAGTCAGTTTACATCAAGAAGTACAGTTGGCGCGAGAAGACAAGTTAATGCACCATGAAAGGCTGATGCGTGAGTTCATAAGCACATAAATTCAAACAGAAGAGTCTGGCGTTCCAGCTCTAAGAGGATCAGGTGTTTCAGTCGCAACAAAGGAGGCAGCAGCAATGCTAAAAAGCCAGTACGCTTGAGTGGTCACTGCACCTGGGAACACCGGACTACGACTACCTGTTATCAGAGGATATATCATATCCAACGCTCACTCCAGATGATTTTTCCCCAGAAATAATAGCATCGAAGCTGCAGTGTTTGAAAAGGAATTCATCTCTACTGATAGATAATATCCATCCACAGACGCTTGTCAACCTGTCGAGCAACTCAGCTCAACCACTAACTATTCCAACCAATGTTCAACAAAACTGCGCTCTCACGAACATGGAAACAAGAAGTATTTTTCTCGATATACAAGAATGGTTGTAGTAGTGACCCAGCCAACTACCGCCCCGTTGCTCTCCACCCCGTATTATTCGAAGTCATGGAATCCATTGTTGCAGATAATGTGATGAGTTATTTGGAAAAATACGTGTTATCCCTGCTCAACATGGGTTTCGTCGCAGGCGATCGTGTACCACTAACCTGCTTCTGGCCCGAGAAGAGTGGACAAAAGCAGCTGATCACGGTAATGCAGTGGACGTGGTGTACCTCGACTTCGCCAAAGGATTCGACCGAGTAAACCACAAAATACTGCAGAGGAAACTACACAACTACGAAATTCGGGGACTAGTATTGGACTGGATAGAATTTCTTCGACAACGCACCATGGCAGTTCGTGTTTCTGGGTCACTTTTTGATCACATCAGCGTAACACGAGGAGTTCCACGGGGATCCGTGCTTGGCCCTCAACTTTTCCTTGTTTTTATAAATGACCTAACGGACATTCTGGGACCACAAACGTTAATGTTTGAAGACNGGACAAAACCAGAGGACTCGCTAGCACTTCAGAGAACACTTTATGCTGCCTATCAATGTCGATCGAAAACGACATGGAATTTAATACATCAAAATGTACGGTCTTATCCATTTGTCACAAAAATTGGTTTCCGTATTTCCTGGGAAATCAACAAATCCCGTATGTTTCAAATGAGATAGATCTCGGCGTCATTGTCCAGGACGACCTAAGTTGTTCTTTGAACTGCTCCCAGGCGTCGTCCACCGCGGTAAGACATGTTGGTTTGCTAAAGCGAGTATTTGGCAAATTTGAACCTGTTTCCACGGTTGTTATCAGCCTATATTCGGCCCACGTGGAGTATGCAATTCAAGCGTGGAATCCATGGCTGCAACGCGATCGTACGATTCTGGAATGTCCACAAACAATGATCACCAAAATGGTCAAGAGACTGCACTACCAAGAGTTACGCGGAAAGACTGGAATCACTGCAACTGTACTCCACACAGTATCGCCGCATTGGAAGGGACTTAATCTTGATGTATCAAGTGATGCAGAACGCAGATCACCCACGTCGTTCCCTGTTTGCCTTATCGCCCAACACTCATCTGAGGGGGCGCCCATTCAAATTAGTGCTCCAAAAAAGTCGACTAGAATGCTGACGTCATTCTTTCGTCCGCAGTGTGTACTACTTGGAATTCTCTGCCACCGCAAGTTGTTTCTGTGCCCACAATTGATTCCTTCAAGCACAAATTAGATGATGCTTTATCAAGACTTAAATGCAAACATCCGTAGCAGTGCACGAAACAAGGACAAATTGTGACATTCATCTACTTTCTATGAACCGTGAATCGATTCATCTGTGCTAAACCCTATGGGACTAGAAAAGCAACCGCTTGTAAGTATTTCCCATAATAAAACTTTGACCTTATCAACGGCCGGTCACATCCTTTAGTCTCAAGCCAACAGATTGCGGTGTTCCCGAATAGACCGCAGAATCGCATAAACCTCTACTTAATACAGTAGCCAGGTCGAGTCTGTTGCTGAAGAAAGGTCGCCAAAAGAAAGTGTCAAAGCCTAGGAGATGCGCTCTGTTAATTCCCCTCATAGGATACCGCTCAGCGATCAACTAATAAGGTCAACCAACCAGAACCTAGAGAACAAGGCGTCGGTGCTTATTCGTCATATTCGTGTACGCACCGACGGATAGCAGTTCGTCAGAAATGAAAGATGAATTCTACAAAGACCTGTCTCAACTGCTTCAAATTGCACGGTCAACGGAGACCTCAATGCTTCATTGGGGTCGCTGGATGAATCAGAAAGGCTACTTGGTGGTTCACATGAAATCCCAGCTTACCAGAACGACAACGGAGAACGACTACTTCATTGAGGACTGCCGCTTCTGCTGTTCATCACCCACGGACACGGTTAATGCTCTTCTATGAGCCAGATTCTAACTACGCCTGGTAAACAACCATAGAAGAGCCACCCGAAACGTATGCACGCAATACACTTTTGAGTGCCTAACCGTGCAGTGTCCCCTAGATTTTCCCGTTTTATAAACAATTTTAACTCGTTCATAGCGCCTTACTGTACATAACAACATCGTATGTCATTTTTGATTCGTTCAGATATTTTATTGACTCAATTTTAGATGTTAATCTACACATAACCCTTGACGACTTTAACCATACTAGCACTTATTCTCTTTTACCATCGGATCTGACAGATCACCTGCAAGTACAACTGTGTCGGAGCTTCGACTCATCCGAATGAGATCGGTGAGTTCATCGTAGAAAGCGTCCTTTTGGGTATCAGAACTGCAATTGGTCGGTGCATATGCCGGAGCTTCGACTCATCCGAATGAGATCGGTGAGTTCATCGTAGAAAGCGTCCTTTTGGGTATCAGAACTGCAATTGGTCGGTGCATATGCTGATACGATAAACAAACATCTTTTAGTGTTGCTTCCCTTCCGGACACTGATTGAACCCTGGAGACGCACTGCACATAAATGACTGTTGACGGGGATCCAATCGATCGACTCCGCCCTATTGGTGTACAATACCTACCCCGCGCTGACCTACTGAGCGAGCTTCATCGTCGCCTGATGTGCGAAGAACGTATCTCGTCGAATTCATGTGAACACGGGTGCAGTCTGTGTAATTATTGCTGCCCCATTCAAAGCCCATATGTGTCCAACGGAAAGATAAACTCTCTCCTACTAAAGTCGCTGCGACGACAAAACGAACGTGCGTACAAATCTCACAATGCTTCAGCTGTCAGCTATTTGTCCCGGCTTATCAAAGTTGAAGTAAATAGATTGAACGCATTATTCTCCGATCGAATTCTGAGGACTGGAAACAGCAAACACCTGTGGCAAGGTATAAGACTACTATGTGAAAGAAAGAAAGAAAGTACGGTCGAAGCTGGATGTGGATGCTGATGATCCCAATGACGCATTCCTGCGCCAGTCATCGGACATTCTTCCTGCCTACTCGTCACAAAATGTTTGTAATGTGGAACCATTCGCATATATATTGTGATGTGTTAAAAGTTGTAAACAGTTGCAATTCGTTTTCTGCAGCAGGCCCCCAATGATTTACCTCTAGCCCTCATTAAATATGGTTCTGCTTCCCCAGCTGCGGCAATAACCTCCATTGTAAACGAATCTCTTAACACTTCTACTATCCCCGACTGTTGGAAGCCGGTCACAATCATACCAATCCGCAAAGCATCCAAATCTTCCATCCTCTTCAAACGTTTTCGTCCCATAGCATTCACATCTCTAGTCCCTAAGTTGACTGAAAATGCTATCCTCGAACACCTTCAGCAGTTCATACACATTCCTAGTGATACTTTACAGTTTGCTTACAAGCCTAATAGATCCACCTAGGACGCACTCCCCACGTTTATTCATTCCATCACTAAGTCTTTGAACAACTCTGATAAATCTGTTCGGTGTGTCTTTCTGGACTACTCTCCAGCATTTGATTCCATTCCTCGTTACAAAAAACTGGAATCGTTCGAATGTCCCAAGCAGTTGTTAGCTTGGCTATCCAACTACTTTACCGATTGAGTACAAACCGCTAGATTGGAGAAGGCTTCATCTAAACCCTTAGTCAACAACTCAGGGGTTCTTCAAAGAGCTAAGCTATCCTCATACTTACTTTCCACTTCTATTTTTGATGTTCCTTGTGTTTTTCCTGTACGTATTTTGAAATATGCAGATGACGTCGTGCTGTGCTAACCCATTTCTCCCTACTCCGATCTAAGCTCCTCCACCGACAATCTTGATCAAATCCAGTCATTATCCTCGTTATCGGGGCTGACCTTAAACCTCAGTAAATGTGTTGAGTGTTTATATAGTTTTGCTCGCTCCCCATATCCGACAGACGCCACAGTGATTAATAACAATCCTTTATCCAGGGTAAACTCTGTCAAATATCTTGGTGTAA